AACCCGCCACCTTAGGTGTATGTGGCTGGCGCTTTAGCCGCTTGAGCCACAGGCGCCGAGCCTACATCTCAAATCTTTAGTACAGCAACTATATTCATGAGATGTTTTATTCAAGTAGATTTTTTCATGAACCCTGATGTAGGAATACAACAAAGGAACAACCACATAAGCAGGAATAGAAGTGGACAGTCACAAAGAAATAACCACATGTAGGGTGGCACCCATAGCTCATTGGGGGCACCAACCACATACCCTGAGGTTGGTGGGTTCGAACCCAGCCCAGGTCAGCTAAAACAATAATGACAACTGCAACAACAACAAAAAATATCCGGGAGCTGTGGCGGGCACCTGTAGTCCCAGCTCCTTGGGAGGCTGAGGCAAGATAATAGCTTAAGCCCAAGAGTTTGAGGTTGCTGTGAGCTATGACACCACGGCACTCTACCTAGGGTGACAGCTTGAGACTCTGTCTCCAAAAAAAAAAAAAAAAACCCCAGATAGCTGGAAAATAATTTTTAGTATCTTGGGCTACTGAAGTTGGACCAAATTTTCCACATCTTTGAGGATCAGGAGGGCCCTGATTGATTACAGCCACAGAAGATTTCAAATATCCTCACTTTAATCCACTGCATTGGTGTAGCAGGGGTCCTCAAACTTTTTAAACAGGGGGCCAGTTCACTGTCCCTCAGACCGTTGGAGGGCCGGACTGCAGGCCCCAGGATGAGTCGTCTGCAGAACAGGAGGCAGTGGCAAAAACACCCAGCGGGCCGGATAAATGTCCTCGGCAGGCCAAATGTGACCCACAGGCTGTAGTTTGAGGACGCCTGGTAGAGTTTAGTTCTCCGAAGACAATCTTATTTCCAACATTCCTACTTCACAATGACTCTCATATGATGCCAGTAGAAGCTATTTAGAGAAGTTAAAGTAGGGAGGGTAGGCCACAGTTGAAAGGTTTGAGATAGAGACAAATGGGTAGACAAAATATAAATAGGCAGACTTTCAAGCAGCAGAAAGGGGACAGAAGCAGCGGAAAGTGACCTACACATATCTAAAATCAGTCCATGTGCCTACCACATTGACACATTTTTCATGAATTACAAAATCTTTTTTATTGAGACATAGTAATACATATCATGTAAAAGGCAACATTCAGCAGTTTTTACTCTATTTGCAAGGCTGTGGAATTATCACTATTATCTAATTCTAGAACATTTTCATCTCCCCAGAAAGAAACTGTACCCATTAGGAGTCATTTTTCCATTCCCTCCTCCTCACAGCTCCTGAGAACCAAATGTACTTTCTGTAGATTTGCCTATTCCAAACATTCATACACATGGAATACTACAATATACGGCATCTTATATCTGTCTTCTTTCACATACATGATGTTTTCAAGGCTCATTCACACAGTAGCATTTACTAGTACTTAATGCCTTTATATGGCTGAATAATATTCCATTGTATAGATGGAGCATATTTTACTTGTCCATTTATCAGATGATGGACATCAGCGTGTTCTCTACCTTTTGATTATTATTAATAATGCTGCTATAAACCTTCACGTACAAGTTTTTGTGTGGACAAATTTCTTTTTTTTTAGACTTTGTTGCTCTTGGTAGAATGCTGTGGTATCATAGATCACAGCAACCTCAAACTCTTGGGCTCAAGCAATTCTCCTATCTCAGCCTCCCAAGTAGCTGGGACTACAGGTACCTACTACAACACTGGGCTATTTTTAGTGACAGGTCTTGCTCTGGCTCAGGCTGTCTCAAACCTGCGAGCTCAGGCAATCCATCTGCCTTGGCCTCCCAGAGTGCTAGGATTACAGAGTAGAATTATAACTCCATATTTAACATTTTAAGAAAGTGCCAAATTGTTTTCCAGAGTAATACTTTACATATCCACTAATAATATATAAAGTTTTGACTTCTCACATCTTGCCCTAACACTTGTTATTGTCCTCCTTCTTTATTTCAGTCATTCTAGTAGATGTGAAGTGGTATCTCAGTGTAGTTTTGATTTACATTGCCCTTATGGCTGATGATACTGAACATCTTTTCATGTCCTTATTGGCCATTTGTATATCTATTTGGAGAAATGTCAGTTCAAATCATTTGCCCATTTTTAATGGGTTGTCTTTTTATTACTGAGTTATCAAAGTTCTTTATAATCTGGATACTATACCTTATCATATATTTTATTTGCAAATATTTCCTCCCCATTCTTTAGGTGTCTTTTCTCTGTCTTGATGGTGTCCTTTAATGCACAAAAGTTTTTAATTTTGATGAAAGCCAAATCTATTTCTCTTGGATTGATTGTACTTTTCATGTTATACCTAAGAAACTGTCACTTAATCCAAGGTAATAAAGGGATTTATACTAAGTTTTTCTTCTAAGAGTTTTATAGTTTTAGCTTTTACATTTAGGTATATGATGCACTTTGAGTTAATATTTATGTATGGTGTGAGGTAGCAAGCCTTATTTTATTATTTTACATATGGATATCCCAGCACTATTTGTTAAAAATAATATTGTTTCTCCCATTGCATTGTCCTTGTCAAAATTCATTCACTATATTCATTTACTATAGATGTATAGGTTTGATTCATTATTTCTTTTCCATTTATCTATATGTCTATCCTTATGCCAGTACCACACTGTCTTGATAGCTATAGCTTTTTTTTCAGAGATGGGGTCTCACTATGTTGCTCAGGTTAAGAGTACAGTACACTGGCTACTCACAGGCATGATCATAGTATACTACAGCCTCCTACTCCAAAATTTCAATTTGGTACCTTTTAAAATTTATCTTTATGACTATATTTGGTGAGGCAGCATTCTTTTTTTTTTAGAATAAGGAACCTTTAATTGCCAGTGAGAACTCAGATGCCTCAAGGTGTGGAGGCAGCATTCTTAATATTTCCTATAGTTCTCTAGACATATTTTTTAGTTCTTTGAACATATTTACAATACCTTTAAATTTACAAAAGTTTTTGTCTTGTAAATCAACATGTGTAGGCAGCCTCAGGGACAGTTTCTCTCAAAACTTTCCTGTTTAGGGGCCATACTTTCTTATTTCTTGGCATGTTCCATAATTCTTGTTGAAAACTATACAGTTTAAATGTGTGTCAGGAAAATCTGATTGGCACACACTCAAAGTTTGTTGCTATTTGGTGACTTTTCTGAACTAATTCTGTAAAGTTTGTATTCTTTGTTATATGTGGCCACTGGAGTCTCTGGTTAGTTTAGTGGTGAGGAGGGAGTGGTGAGTCTAGAACTAATAAGTCTCCCAGTCTTTGCCTAAGGTCTCTGTGTGAGTATTGAGGCATGCCTTCAATGCTCAGACAGATAATTTACAACTCAATCTTAGCCATTACTTTTTTCTTGCACAGAGCTTCAAGGTCAGTTGGAAGTCAGAGCTTAAGGCAATTTCAGGTCTTTCCTGGGGATATGCATAGCTCTATATATCCATTTGGCTTTCTTGATCCCCAGAAATACATCAGGAACTTTCCAAAGCTCCCTCTGAACATCTCATTTCCCAGTTACTCTTTTCAAGTTTTTTTGGTCAACTTGTTGTTTGCAACAAGACAACAAGTTATCACCGCTTGTCTTAGTCTGTAGTCTGTTTGTGCTACTATAACAAAATACCAGGACTAGGTAATTTATAATGAACAGAAATTCATTGGCTCATGGTTCTGGAGGCTGAGAAGTTCAATATGACAGCGCCAGCATATGGCAAGGAACTTCCTGCTGTGTTATAACATGACAGAAGGCATTACACGGCAGGAAGGGCAAAGAGTAGGCAAGAGACGGAGTAGAAGGGTGCTGAGCTTGCCCTTTTGTAAGGAAACCATTCCCAAGATAGTGGCGTTAATTAATTTATTCAGCCCTGATGGCCTAACATCTCTCATTAGTTTCCATCTCCCAGTTGGAATGGAGATTAAGTTTCCAACCTGCTTTTTAGGGAGACACATATAAACCAGAGAACTGCCTAAGGCAGCTGTGATATTATAGTAACTGCCACTGACCATTCTGACAAATATACATGGTGTGTTCTAAGCCAGACCAAATAACAAAAAGCCTTCTAAGTGAGGTGTACCAAGGAAGTGCCAGATGTGTCAAATAGCAGTTATCTGGGAAAGAAGCTTTGAAGGTAGCCAAACTCTATTCAACCGTCTCTACAAATAGCTAAGTCACTGGTTTTCACTGAAATTATTGTGGTTTTCTAGGCTACCATGAGATAAAGAGAAAAGTAAAGAACTAGGATAAGTTAAAATGCCAAAAACCTTGCTAATTTTACCAAGATACAACTGGTTTTCTTGAGTAAACAATCCCCAGATTGTTGCAAGCCTTTGTCTAATATCCAGGGTTCTGAAAAAGTTACTTTGACAATAATTTTTGACAGTGTTCTTAGTGATTTTAAGAAGGAGAGGATTTTCAGAGATCCTTACCCTACCATTCTGGCTAATGTCACCCAATTATATGTTATTTTTGTTTGTTTGTTTTCAGCTTTTGGCCCAGGTCAGGTTTGAATTCACCACTTCCAGTATATGGAGCCGGCGCCCTACTCCTTTGAGCTACATGCGCCACCCAAAATGTTATTTGTTTTACAATTAGTTTTCTAAATATCTGAGCCCCTCTCCTACTTCACCGCCCTCCAAAAGGAGATTATAATTTACCAGTGCTGCTCAGATGGAATCCTTTGAGCTAGCTGCCACAAAACATTTAACTATTAGGCAGATTCGCATATTTAGGAAAAAGTATATGTGAGAGTAATTGTGCTTTTTCAATACTTGCCATATCGGTGCAGTCTCTCTTCTTTTACATGGCAAGATTCTCTGCTGCTATTTCATAAAGTTTTCACTGCACAAATATCGCATATTAACTAGAGTCCTACTAGCGGTGGGAGAATGGTTGCCTCTCACTCTGCACCTGGAGTAGGGGGCGCAATTGCTACAGACGCGCAGGCAATGATTTGAAGTTAGATCAAATTCCCACGGTCTGGGAATTTGTCACCATGACAACATTACGTGCTAATTTACAGACTTAAGGAACTGTTCTAGTTGGAATTGATAAAGGGATCTTCGGAAGCCTATTTATTTCTATTCCAAAATCAATTTTTTATAAGAGGTCATCGGAACTACCTAGTGAACATCATTTTTTAATACTCTGTCAAAACATTTAACGAAGAAACTTTACCTTTACTTTGGAGAAGAGGAAATTTAGATATTTCCTTCAGAGACTTTAGTAAGGACCACTAAATTTAGGTTTTGCGCCGGAGCCAAGACTAAAGAGGTCATTGATACCAAGAGCTACTCCAATTCACACAGAGTCTAACAAAGCTTAAGCATGCCAGAAGCAAATGCCAGACTCTTGGAGCTGTAACTGTGCAGTTTTCGGATCGGACGAGCTGGTCAGTTGGAGTCTCTGATTTCCTATCTTTCCTCCACTTCTATTTCTGTAAACTTTCTCCCACCCACCTCCACTTCCCCTTTCCCTTTTCTACCCATTTACCTGAGGGCAAAACAGTCTAACTTCCGTAGAGCCCGAAGAAGCTTACTGAGGATGCGTTCGACTTGGTGGCGCCCATAAGTCAACCGAAGCCCTCACTCGGCACCCCCGTCTTTCGCCCTATGCCTGTGGGCCAAAACCAATCCCTTTCCCGAGATGGGTCAGTTTAGCTCACCAGTGCTTTCCTTCGCCTGTCCACAGCGCCGTCCAAACTGCACTAGCATCTCTGACTACCGGCCCGCGGCGCTCCCAGACCTGGGAAAACGAACGCAGTGCCAAGTGAAGCCGACTCCAGAAGTCTGAGGGTGTTCGCTGCCACGCTGTTGCTTAGCAACGCCGCCGGAAGTGACGCAATGCATCTCGGAAGAGTCAGGTACTCACTGCAGTCGGCGGGGGCGCCAGAGAACCGAGGCTGCGCCTGAGCTGGGATCCTGACGTGTGAGTGGGCCGGAGGGCTCCGGCAGGCGCGGGGCTGAGGCGGAGTGACAAAGTTGGCGGGAGCTGCACAGACGCCGCGGCAGCTGCCGACGCCGGGTGTGGGTTCGTGAGGAGCCCTTGGAGCGCAGGCCTGCCTGCTACTCCCATACCCACCTGCTCCGCGCCTCACGGGGAACGACCCCCAACTAGATCCAGACGCCCACCTTCGGGGTGGACCCGGCAGGTGTGTGAGAGCGCGGGGCCTAGGCTCGGAGTCAGGGCCCACAGATCTGTCTCCTCGCGGGTGGACTGTGAAGGGAAAAGCCCTGCCTTAAACGGCCACATTCCAAAGGGTGGGATCAGGAACGGTAGCAGTTTTCACACATCTGTCTGGTCAAAGGGTACAACTGAAGTGGGAAAACAAACCGCCCTGGGGTTCGCCTCTGACCCCTCCGGTAGAATGTGACTGTTTTAACTATAGAAACCCAGGGGCTAATTGACATAAAAGCTATTTTTAAATCCTTGGGTTTCTGAGACATGGTCAAGGCTGTAGAGGGCTAAGTTTTTTTAAAAATAGGAGTGTTAAAACTTGGGTGATGGCTCGGCGCCTGTGGCTCAAGTGGCTAAGGCGCCAGCCACATACACCTAAGGTGGGGGGTTCGAATCCAGCCCAGGGCCCGCCAAAACAGTAATGCCGGCTGCAACCAAAAAAATAGCCCGGCGTTGTGGGGGGCGCCTGTGGTCCCAGCTACTTGGGAGGCTGAGGCAGGAGACTCGCTTGAGCCCAGGAGTTGGAGGTTGCTGTGAGC